AACCACCTGTTCACAGGCGCAGCCATTTTACATTTCAAACATTTCACATTTATTTTCCCTAACAGTATCTGGGCAGCACACCTAATCCAAGTGGTGTCTGGGTGCAAAGAAATGGAGAATAACATTCAACAGATCGTAGTTGCTCCTTTGGTGTAACAGGGCATCCTCACTAACCTTTGACCCGAATGACTTCATTGACCACTGCAGCTGTGAGCTTGTCACCTGCTGGTTCAAACTCTTTGGGGCTTTGGAGGTCAAAAACAAGTGACCTTTTGCTGCAACTTTAGGACAAACAGTAACAGCCTTCTGGCTTCTGGACAACACATATGTACCTTGGGACCTTGAGTCTTTTTTTTAACCATAATGAACAGTGGGTCAACAGAACCTATTTTATTTAGCCTCCAATTTCCTTGTATCTGCATTGATTCCTTTTGCTTTTTCTGTGAATTGCGATTCCTATAGGTTTGAAATGCTGGAATAGATTTTCTTAAAGCAGATAGCTTGTGTTTATAGCACACAACTATATTTGTGTATTTTGTCTGTTTAGGTAATCTTTGCTGTCTTTGAAATAGATTGAGCCCAGCCAACTGTTTGTATGTACTTTGATATAGCACCTGTAGCCCTATTATTAGCCCATAACACTGTGCCAAAAGATCAAAAGGGGTTTTGAAGTTTACTTAATATGGGTACATGCACTCCACATTAAAGCCATTTCCGATGTTTCTCTGGTGTAAAGGTGCATGTGTAAACAGGACCATTGTGCTCAATGCAACTAAATATCATGCAGTAATCATGTTGAGAGGCTATTACCAGCCCAGCTTCCTCCACCCCAGCTCATTAAAGTCACATGTTGCATTAACTCATTCACTTCTAAAGATGTTTCAGCATCTTTGCTACTGGTCTTAAGAAGACATCTGAGGCCTGAATTCCCATCTGGTCTTAGCATTAAGACTGTTGTGTAAAAGTGCAAGGACATAAAGAATTTTGATGAGTTCTTAAAGTCAGTATCAAATTGGAAAGTGTTTTTTTCGCAGTTCTTTAAAAGACCTGTGGAAACTCATTTCCAAATAAAGACTGAATTTAAGAATTGTCCAAAATTCTGCATGTTCTTACATTTTAAGACAATAGTCTCAAGCCCAAAGCCAGGTTTTAAATGGTGTTACCATTTCTATCATGCAGGATGGATGGAGATTGCAGCAATTAATTTTGCACAACAGTGTGCTGTAAATGGATTAAAGGTGCAATAAATTCATGTTAGAAATTCACATCTTAGTAATTGGACAATGCAGTCTGCTGCACTTTAATGTGTTCTTAAATGTTAGCTGTGATTATGAAATATATCTTTGTTTACAATATGTAAACAATGAAAACATTGATAAGGTGATCTTGGATATGCGGTGATGTAAGAAAACCTGATTTAGAACAACCAGATTCTAATTTCTAGTTTATAGTGCTGCAAGCAAAGCATTGTTGCTTTTACCAGTAAAATCATTGCTGAGAAAGCCTATTGTGGGCAAATGCTTTTTAACAACAGCAAACCAACTTAAAACTTAAGGCAGAATTTAAAAATGGTCCACAATTTGTACATTCTAAAATGTTAAGCAAAATGTCAAAAGTCTGGACCCAAGTCAGATTGCTCCTCAGGAGACAGACCATTGTGAAAATGGATTCTTGTCCCCACTGAACCACAAAAATCTTCAGACGTATATACATATTATTTGGACAATTGCATGTGTAAAAAAAATTGGAAAAATTCAAACTCATAGGTCAGGACACACTCCTATCTATGCAGAAAGGAATGAAATAGTAATGGAAGCAGACTCAATTTGCTCATACATTTAGTGTTTACTCTGTCTGGTGCTGCGTCAATGGAGAAATATTCTTTTGTGTGGGCGGGATAAAATGACGTGGCCTTGCAACCCAGTGTTTGATTTCAGAGATAAAGGTTTCACCTTTTAATTCAACTTGCCCTGCGTTTGGGGTTCAAATAGAATAAAATTCCCTGACAACATCAATCAAGCTTCGAGAGACAGCGCGGCTGGTTTTTTAATTGCACATTAATGACTCATTTTTGACTAATCTACTAAATCTGAAAACACACAATATACAGTAGTTTGTGTAATATCGGTTTGTACAATACAACTGACACGTTTACACTGAATCCGTGCAGAGCCTCAGGTCCTCAGTGGCTTTGGTTGTGAATTTGCATTTCAGTACAGAGTGTCCTGTGCATTGCAACACAAAGCAGTATTTTGATGCTAAACCCATGTGTCAATGTAGATTGTTGAGAGAACCACTTTCTTTATGCAAAATACTTCACAGTAAACTTGTGCTTTGGAGACGCCACATTGACTAAGATGAGTTCCTCGCTTTTGATCATGTGGCTACTGAATTGTTGCTTGTGATTGTATCATCATGTGAATGTAACCCATTAAAAACATTGTTGCTACAGAATACATTTGATATATAATAATAACAAAAATAATTGCTGCATTTTGATATATCAACTTTCAAATCAGGAAGTCGTCTCAAAGCGCCTCACAGGATTTACTGTAAAGTGTAGTGACTGTATTTTGTAGGTTTGGATTAACAACTTCTAGATAAGGTGAAGAAAGACCCAGCTTCAATCCTACAGTCTGAGCTGAGGTGTGAGCTGGAGCACTCGCTTTGCACATGAGAGACCTGAGTTCAATTCCAGGCAGGGCGAAACCTTGGGCAAGTTTCCTTACTCCACACGCCTAATAATAATCCCTCCAAAACCAAAAAACAATAATAAATTGGTCATTTTCAATCTACGACTGTTTGTGGGACATTGCTGTGCGCAATTGGCTGCCACATTCGCCCACAAATATACAGTCAATTCACTTTACAGTGTGTTCTGTGAAGCGCTTTGGGACGTCCTCCCGACGTGAAAAGCACTATATCAAATGCAAGGATTATTATTATTATTATTATTATTATTATGATGGTGGGGTGCCTCATCCTGGACTAAGGAGTGAAACAGAATCAGCAGGATTCTTACTTCTGATCACAAATTCAATGAATTTTGCTGTGTTGTTTGTCTAAATGTTGGTTGAGGATAGGATGAAGATGTGTGTGTTAGACAATCTGTAATATCCTACAAAATGGTTGAAATGTTTACCAAATTCACTATCTCAGATCCTGCATGGAATGAGCTACTTGGATGTGGAACTGTAGTATTAGGCAGCTGACACCTACCTGTGTAACTTTATTTCATAATAGGGGCACTAACTTCCTAAAACTGTGGGATTTTGCAGTCAAAGCGATTGAGCAAGAAAATAAAGCAGTACCTGATCAGTTTCTGATTTTTGTAACTTGTCTCAAGACAAGAAACCCTGCTTAGGTTGAATTTTATGAGTTAAACAAATGCAAGGGTCATTATTATTATATTTTACTGCAATGCAAATTAATGTTAAGCAAATGTGAGGCTCTATGTTTGCCACAATGTGTTTAATTTGATTCTCAGGGCTCGGATTATGTGGATAGCATAAGGGCACTCTGTCATCGGGGTGGGGCGGTGGGATTGACTCAAGTATGTGAATTATTTTTATACTTATGCTGGGTTTTGTCCCACATATCTTATGCCCTGGGGTATAAATCCCAATTTTCCACTCACTCTATGATAAAATAAGTCTTGATGATAAAATTGGGGTTATCTTGCGGTGAAGCAAAGACTTATGAGAACTCTATTATTGGGAGGTAGCACATTACAATGTGTAACCTGGGGGAACACCAATGGGTTGAAGGAAATCCCCCAGCCAACAACTCACCCAGAGCAACTGGTCAAAACCAACTAACAAGTTCACAAGAGTTGTGGATGAGAGGAGGCAAGTGATGGATTGCTGAGTAACAAAACTAAAATGCAATAAGCCAGCTCATCCTTTATTAAAAATATCCACTAACAGCTAGTGTTTAATTTTCTATTCTTCACTGTGACCGTCCATAATTCAGAATATGCAAAGATAAACCTGACTCGTGCATGTTTCGAGTATGAACACCAAAGTCTGCAGCTTCTTCTGATAAATGCAATACTGGATTGCAATTGCTTATAGAGCATCTGATTAATGTACTGCAGTGGGATCTTACTATTAGAACAACAGACTTCAGCGGAAGCTGCATTACAGTGACTGAAGAAACTTAGACTTTGACTGGCTGAAATGTCTGATAGGAAGAACTATTCTGTTTGATTCACCATCATGAGATATGACTTTGATATAGGTTGGAGAATCCTGCAAACGTAAGGCATTTACTTCAAAATAACTACTTTGTTAATATGTTTCATTCATAAAAGCAAGCAAACCTAAAATGGTTTTATCAGAAAAACAAAATACCCAGATGTAACTGTAATAAAAGTGGCATATTTTATTTCTATCTACATTATGTTAAGTGCTTCAGGACCCTACCGTGTGAAGAGCGCTATACAAAAGCAAGTTGCTCTGCTTAGCTGACTTTATACCACTCCACCACCGCCTACCTCCTCTCAAGCTGTGAAACGTTAAACTTCAAAACAAGTGGCAGAAATATTTTAAATTTCTTAGCCTTTTATTTCTCTCCCTTTTGATCCTTCTGTTCCTTTTCTTTCTCTCTGTCTGTTCCTGCAAATTAAAAAAAGTGAAGAAAACCTAGAGAAGAACAAGCCAGCACACAGTTACCTGTGTAAAGCTTTGTTCCTTTCCACTGAAGAATGAAGTAGGTAACCGCTTGTTTATATAGTCAGATATTAAGGATCTGTATATCTCTATAGTACAGTGGAATCAGGGGTTTGAATACAGGTACAGTACCGGCTATACAGTAGATAGTTGCAAATAATTTACAAAAGGAAAGTGTATAGAAGATATCATACATTTTTCAGGAAAGAAAAGGTACATCACAAGTCTATTCTCTACAGACGAGTGCCTCCTATTGGCTTTTGGTACCCACCAGCTTGAGGCATTGGTCAGTTCAGGTGCTTACACTTAATAATCATCACATATGTGGCTTTATTCTTTTGGGCTTTCTTTTGGTGCCTCAGAGGTGGAGTTGAGGCGTTTGGTGGTTGGTGATGAAGACCCTGAAGGCTGTGGCAGCTGTTGTGTGGCAAGCTGATCTTTCAGGATGCTCAGGATGTCCTCTAGCTTTTGCTCCATCTGTGTGACCTGTCAACAAAACCAGAGAAGAGGTGGTCAGCCTCACACTTAGTCGTCCATCACCACGCTGACAGGCAGCAATGGCTTTCTTCTGATCACTTCACAAACCTTCAGCTGCTTGTCCCTTCTTATTCCTTCATTTCTTGAACTTTAGCACAATATAAACCGGGTTATTAATGAAAATAGCAATTTCTGAGGGATGAGTTTGAAGATGGTGGGTTTATTAAAATTATATAGCAATGCATTTCAAACAAACAAAGCACGCAAAAGCAAAGGCAAATGCAATACAGCCCTAGAAATAATATACATTTTGCTCCATTGATATTCCTGACTAACTCAACGACTCAATTGTGTCTGTTAACAATCAAAAACCGGATTGCATTTGAGTGTTATCTATCTCATAGCTTATGAGAGTTGACAATTTATTTAGCTGCCTCTAAGAGATGTAAACCCCAGCAAGCTGGTTAAAATTGGTCAATAATGCCCTGAGGCAGGAAGATTTTGTTCCCTGCTCACTTCCAAAAAGGATCTTTATCCCCGTCCAGGGAGGAAATGGACCTTTGACCTTCCAACACTGTATCAATCTATTACTGCTCTGGTGCTCGGTTGCAATTCTGACACACATGTGTGAAAGCAGAATGAAATAGGATTTAAAGTGGGTTAGCGCTTGTGAAGAAAATTTAGCCTGTTTGTCACAGGTCTTGCCTTCATCTCGAGTTGACATCAGCAACGAGGCAAATGCAATGTTGGGCAGTGCATGTAAAGCTCAGACATTGTATGCGCTCAAAGACTAATGGTCCACAGCTTATGGAAAAGCTTAGGAGTCTTTGAGTCACCTGCTGCACCAAATGCGCGTCAGATGATATTAGCACTGAACATGGCACCAAGCTACAAAATGAAAGATGAACTCTTTATTTTGAAAATAACAATAGAAAATAGTGGAGCTGCAAAGCAGACAGAAAATCAACAAAACGAACAGAAGCTTAATGTTTTGGGTATGACCCTTAATCACATTTTCCTCAGGAACTGAGGTTGTGCACCCAAATCTTTTACCTAACATTTTTCCAAAAGCATTTGCTGGTTTTTTTTCAGGTTTCTAACACTCCTTTTTCTTGGTTTTATGGTCTACTTATTTGGGGTTAGTTTTTGCTTCCCAAAATTCTTTGCTTTGATTCAGCAGAAAGCTGCCTTCAAATTGCTGTTTTCAAATCATTTTTGATCTTGTTTGAAAAGAATAAGTGATGATTAAATCCTGGTGCTGACTGAAACCAACTCTAAGTAGGGCATCAGTATGCCACAATGGGGCTACATCACAATGTTTCACACCCAGCAACCCTCTCGCCACAAGCTCACAGTTTGAAAAAATTGTCTATTTGAGTACTTGCCCAGCTAGGTCTTACCCATTTGGGTTTAGCCTCACAAGGTTAGCAACATGGCTTCACCTCCAAATCTCATTGATAAGTCAAGCATTCTGGTTAATTAATTGATTAATTAAGTGGTTGCTCTCAGACTTCCCAGATAAGCCTTTGAGTCAGTTCAATCTTTGAGACGCTCCATTTACCTCCCACCTCGACCAGATATTTACATATGGGACTCATTTGCCAGTCAGTTAAGAGGCACTCTCGCCTCTGAGTCACAAGGTTGTGGGTTCAAAGCTCCATGCCAAGAATTTGAGCTCATAGTCGAAGGTGACACTCCGATGCGGTGCTGGGGGAGTACTGCATTGTCAGCGATTCTGTCCTCAGCAGAAGTCCCATCTGCCTGTTCAGGTGGACATTAAAAATTCCATGGCTCTACTGGCCGACATTCCTCCAAATAAAAGTGATCGTTCACATAATGGCTGCTTATGGGATATTGTTATGTGCAAATAGGCTGCTGTATTTGCTTACAAATATACAGTCACTACACTTTACAGCAACTTTGTGAAGCACTTTGAGATAGCTCAAAACCTTATCATATTGCATTATTATTATATCAACCATGAAAGGGTGAAGGACCAAAATGGACACAGTGAAATTTGAACACAAAAACCTGATTCCAGTGCTCAATCAATAGAGCTACAAACTCTTGATCATGTTCTGTTGGTCCGAGGGTCTGATCAGAAACCAGACATTGAGGAGGGGAGAGGAAAAGTAGAGCAACAAACCATAGGGAAAGATGCTCTGAGTTGCTGTGCACCTGCTCTATCTAGTTCACGAATGACACAAGTTAGAGCCTGGCAGCAGGTTGCATCACATTTCCACCAGGCTCGTTCGCTGAGGAAGGGTCGAGAGAAACCTAAGAATACTGTTCCCTATGGACAGGATTCAAAGAGGCAGTCACAATGTTGAGGCACTGCAGAAATGGTGTGATGCAAATAAGCCCACAGCTGGAATAGTTGCAAATTTCTTTCATGCTCGTAAAAAAAAGCAGAACACACACTCGGTTTGCTAAAAAAAGCACAGAGGTCAGCCCTTCTGAATGGGTTGGTACACACAGCAAGCTGCAACATCTCTGATTGCACAGCAGGATGTGTTTCAACAATCCCTACTCTCAGTACAGTGCCATTGTTGTCTGGTGTGGGTATGAATGTACAAATTCTCTCTATTTCCTCCCTCTGGCTCTCCTGGTCTTGTTCAACCAGACGGCTCCTCTAAAGCCTCCACAGTATAGCTGCCGTATTGCCTGCTGGAACAGAATGCTATGTTTTAATGCTAACACAAGCCTTTCACTTTAAGTAAAAAACAGAAACTGCTGAAAATGAACATGCAGCATGTTGATCGGCATTCTGTGCTTGACCCTCTTAATCAGAATGCCTTGACAATGAAAAATTTGCTATGCATTTCTAGAAATTTCTCTTTTTATTTCAGATTTCCAGCATTCATAGCTTTTCTAACATAAAGTTACATACGGCAGGGAAACAGGCCATTCGGTCCAACTAGTCTGTGCCAGGGTTTGCACTCCTCTTAATGCCTTCTCCTATTCCCCTCATTCATGTTCCCTTCATGTATGCAATACATTTCCTTTTAAATAAAAAAATTTGTCACATAATCCCCGACTGTTTGTGAGACACTGCTGGGTTTCGCCCACAAAATACACAGTCAATCCACTTTAAAATATATTCTGTGAAGCGCTTTGAGACTTCTCAGGGATGTGATAAGGCGCTATATCAAATGTAAAGGTAATTATTATTAAGTACTTTTTTAGTATATTTTATTTCATCACAAAATTCATACTGTGCAGTGTTTTAAGCTTTTTTTTAAAGAACATTATACTGTTGGTTAAAACTGTGTGGGAAAAGTCTTGCAAAGCACCAGCCAGCACTGCCCCTTTAACAGAGTAGCAAGAGGTGAAATGGCAGACAAGCTGTGCTACAGGGCAGAGTAATTTGGCAGCTGTTCTAGCCTGGGTGATGAGGGCTGCAATTAAATATTTGAGTTTGGCATATTAATGATGCAGCACGTGCAAAATGTGACCTGACCTGACCCGCACTTTCCTTTCTGAGGCTTCATCGATAACCTCCCTTTCCCAAGAGTAAATGCATTGTTTAACTAGCATTTGGAGCAGATCTGTTCTGCTCTTCTTTACAATTAAAGCCTCTTCTTTCTTCACTCCCACACTTTGTGCTTTTCACTCGTTCCCTTGCACGACACCACGAGGCTGCGAGTCTCACCCTTCCACAGCATTTATTTCACCATAAAACAATCCCCTTGCTTTTCTCTTTCTCTGATTTTCATATATCTGCCAATGACAACTCATGGTCCTTGAGTACAAACAATCTGATCAGCATCACTCCTCCCTGGAACAGTCTGATCCCAATCCATGTCATACCCGTTGATAACGTGCAGCGACATCTGCAAAATCGAGAATGTTTTTTTTGAGAGAGAGACCCATCTGTCTTTCTTCAGGCTGTTGACAAGAGTTGACCAGCCAACAGCAAGTGTTTGACAGGAGGCTGCCTTTAAGTCCCTACAAGCACGCACTCAGAAACAGAGGTGTGGAGGGAGTAGGGGCAGTGAAATTCCATCTTTGGTAAAGTTGCCTATCTCGCCTGCTTGCACTTATGATAAATAATGTGACGAACCAGCGGAAATGGGCACCAAAGGAGTTTACAAGGAAAAGGCTTGAGGTTGGCTTTGAATTGATTTAAACACACAGATATTGAGTGAGAATTTCTCCCTGTGTCCTGACCAACAAGCCTCAAGATAAAATTCCACATTCACTTTGTGGCTCCTCATAGAACCTCGTCATAAGCAAGTTGACTGTGGCCTTCATATGCAGTCACCACACTTTACAGAAAATGTTGTGAAGTGTTTTTGAGAAGTTTTGATTTTATAGGCCCTATGATAAATGCAAAGATTATTATTTTTAAAAATACTTGTATTTGATATAGTGCCTAATTACGTCATTGAAATGCTCAAAGTGCTTCACAGGATTCATTATGAAGTATAGTGACTACATCTGTAGACTATTCTTCTAAGGGTAGCTTTAACCAGTGAAATATAAACAGAAATGGGTTTTGGTCCCACTTTTGCTGAGTCTCGCTATTCTGGGGCTCTTCTCGCTGAATGTATCACACGTCATGCATTGCTATGTTTGTCTGGACAGCTATATTATATTAACTGGAATAAATACAAAATGGGGTATAAAATTTAGCAATGCCATTTTCAAACTCAGTGCCCAAATCAGAAAAAGAGACATTTTATAATCTAATGGCTCCAAAAAAAATGACGGTGTGAAGATGAAGTCAGGTGGGTTCACCATTCCAAACTGAACACATTGAAATTTAATTTCAAGAATTTATCAACACTGAATTTCTGAGCAGAATGAGGAGGCCAGCAGGAGGTGAGAGTGAGTAGAAGTGTCACATGCCGGTGATGCCACGACCTAGGGTGATGTGAATGACACATGTGACATCTGCTAAGAGTAGGTTGTTGGTGAAGGCAGCCTGTGACACACAAAAAAATGAGACCCCGATACTCCACAGCTAGATCCTAGCAAGTTATTTACATTGTGTATCGATGTCATAGTAAAGATTTTTTTCCCTCTCTGGCTCCCCCAAAACATTCTTTGTTTGTTCAGGAACTCAAATTACACGTCTTGTGTCCCCCATTGAGATTGGGTTTGAAATTGGGGGCAGGGGTAGGTGGGGAGGAGGTTGGGGATTGTGAATTGAAAATTGCTGCACTGGTTATGTATATACAGCTGATGAACCAGCTGGTCTCCCATCTATCACAGCAAGGGTCAGGCCAGTCGGGGTTAATCCAATCCTGTCACAGTATATGATGTGAGACAGAGAACAAACAAAAGAAATGTAAACTGGACAGGGTAATGAATATCCATTTTTGCTTTAATAGCTGGCCATCGATTAGCTTCTGCTTGGAGGTACAACAATCTTTCCCCTGAAAAATGTTTCGGCTCATTCTGGGGAAATATTTGAACTGCTCTGCAGCCAAACTGAATGGTAGTGTACTGTGTGCTTTCTTTTCAGGCTTCATTGAGAGACTCTGTTTAGAATAACATGGTAAAGTGTGAACTGACCTTCTCAGCTTCAGCCACGTCATTGGGTTGGGGGAAATTGAGGAGAGAATAAAGGAGTTTCTCTGTGAAGAAAGAGGAAAATACAACGGGCTTTGGATGTTCAACCTGGTCCACTTTAGTGTACTTCCAAAGCAAGTGTAAATAAGCACTGCTGAGCAACTTGGGAATCAAGCCACTTCTCACCATTTTTACTCTTATCCTCTGAGATTTAGAAGAGTGAAATACGAGAGGCAAAAAAAGTACTTCAGGAAAAGACCATTACAAATTTGATACTGTGACATCCATTTCCATTATGTAATGGACTGTTATATCAGAGGTTACGTGACTTGTGTTACCTTGCAAAGGACACCAAACCTTGCTCTGGAGTCACCTCCCCTGTGCTGTCAGGATCTTCATGCTTGAAGTAACAAGCACATTGTTGACAAACTATTAGAGACCCACATTTTGTGAGTCATAATAACAATAATAATGATGATCCTTACATTTGATACAGCACTTTATTTCCAATTATATTTGTACGCGAACACAGCAACCAATTTGAGCACTGCAATCTCTCAAAAACAGCCACAAACTGAATAGCAAACTTTTAAAATTGTTTGCCAGGATACTAGGAGAAATTCCATTCCCTTTTGGAATATTGCCATGGGATCTTTAACGTCCACCTGAACAGGCAGACAGGACTTCAGTTTAACATTTCAATCCGAAGGACTGCTCCTCCAATGATGCAGCACAGCCCCCAGCCATGCACTAGATTGTCAACTTAAACTATGATCTCAAAGTCCCAATGTGGAGCATAACCCACAATCCACTTAGCCAAACTCATAGCACTGTATTGAAGTTGTTTGACTGACTCCAGAGGTTTTTCACTGAAAAAATAGGAGCATGGTTATATGGCAGGATGTGAGCAAATAACCATAAAAACTAGTGGGAACGTTCCTAATTTAGGCTTGTCCTCAGGGAGCCAGTGAGCGGAAGCTGTCCCCTTCCTTTCAGGAATCATGGAAAATTAAATAAGAGGCCAACCCCTACAGATCCATTGTCGTCCCCCTCACTGCAATGGAGCAGGGAATGGCATTGGGAGGGGAGAAGGAACAGGTTGGCTGGGATTTATACATGGCACAAAAAATAAACATAGACCACAATACAATATGATTCAACACACACACACACAATTGGCTTCACAGAATTGTGCCGTCTGTATGCTGAAAAAAAATGGAATTCAACAGAGATCAGGAGTGATCTAAGCTGAATCTCATTCGGGCTGTAAATGGAACATGTAAAGTTTGAGGTGTTACTTCTCAGGATCTGATACTCACACCAATTAGTTTCCTCCTCTTCAAGACCAATGTCAGTTCCCTAATGGGATTCGAGCATCCGGAATTTGGGTAGGAAATGTTGAGAGTCAAATCTCTGTTGCTCACATATGTAAATTACAAAGGACAAAAAGTTCCCTTTGTTTAAACTTCTCAAAAACATAGTACTTTTCACATGATTGTGATGCCTGGTCATGGATTAAAATGCTATCTGCTATCACACAAGGTCATTTGAATATTTCAACCTTTGCGTGGGACTACAAGGGATCCGGGGAATCGTGCTACAACATAGAATCCAACTGCTAACTTGCTAGATGACTAGATGACTATTGGGTCAAAAAGTTTTGTTCTAACCTTAAACATATAAACATTATGACATTGCTTTGATGGACCACATTATGCATATTACGTCTGAGGGGAGTGCAGAATGATGGCAAAGATGAGTTGACTGTCCTTTCCAACCAATTCAACATCACTTTGGTCTCTAAATTCACATCAACACCTACTCCTAAAAAGTATTCTGTGCACCACAACACAACAGACATTGCTATATTTGTGGCTGGAGCCCTGAAAGTTGCTGGACATGAGAAGGGGTCACAAGCATAAACAGATTTTTTATACACCCACATAACACACATAGAGTAGATTATTAGCACAGAGAAAACTCTCAAACAAACGTGCTATTATTGTTTGTCTCTCAGGAAATAACTAATTACCGAAGCGCAAAATGCCCCTGCTTCTCCCCTCCTCGCCCACCTCCTCTACTCAAACAACTTTGCCCAAAAAATGAATTCAGGGAAGGTACTGGAGGTAAATTACACTTGGGTCAAGGGTATTACAACAAAACATGTTGAGATGCTGCCAGTTGTTATGAATATGGTTTTGTAAAGTTTAAGATTCCATTGCTCTAGGGTAACTTTAGGCTAACTAACGGTATGCTAGCTTTAGACAAGAGTGCAGATTTAAACACCTAGACACCGGGAACATATCAGTTAAGAGGCATCAAATTAATTAAAGGTCAATGCTGAGTGTCATATCAGCAGAATCCACTCCTTATGTACAGCAGCTCCAGCCATTCACCAGCTCCTGTACAGGGTCTTCTCTTTTATGATATGCTTTTTATTCACTTACTAAAACAACAGCTTGTGCTGTAATGCCTTTAACACAGGATGATTGTTGCGAAGCACTTCATGACGATGATGAGCAGAGGTAGAATTTGTGGATGTTAACCAAAGGCACAGCCAAAGAAACACGTTTTTAAGACAGTTTTGAAGATAGGGAGAAGAGGATCTCGAACCTCTCCACAACAACAACAATTTACATAGTAGTTTTCATGTTGGGAAGTCTCAAAACTGACTGGGTACCTGAGCTGATGTGGTGGGCAGGGAGCTGTGTAAGGTCACAGGGGGAAACTTAACTGAAAACACAGTTGAAAAGATAGGTCTTCGTGTGGGCTTCAAAGATGAGGAGAAAATGGGCAAGGCAGACTGACTCTGGGATGGAGCTAGTTGGTGCGGTGGATTGGGCAGGGAACATGAAGCAGATCAGCATGAGCTAGCTGAGTGGATGAATTGGGAGCCAGTGGAATCTGGTTATGGTTGACTTTTCAGTGAGCTACTTTTCATTCCTCTTTTTCTTTACTAATGTGGTAAATTCCCTTACTGTGTCAGGAGAAAATACTCTTTTTGAAAGCAGCATGATGTTCAAAGCAAACATACTCAGCCATCTCTGTCTTGATTCGTTTTATGAGCACCCAATGCAGCAATGCAAATCGAGTCAAAATGATTGACCGTCTCTGTCTCTTGCATGATGTCAAAGAGACCACAAACACGCATGGTTTACCAAACACTCTATGTTATGACAGCATATTTGTCCCAGTGGTACTCAGTTATAATAACAATAATCCTTACATTTGATATAACACCTTTCACATCGTGAGAACGTTTCAAGGTGCTTCACGGGATATAAGGTAAAGTTAAGTGACTGTTTTGAAAATGAGCAAAGACAAAAGTAATTAAGCTATGAATCATTCTGAGATCCACTAGTTGTGAATGGACTCAAGGAACTGCTGTGAACAACAACGAAGAACCTTGTGTCACTTATGCAGCTTTGGTCTGTGAGTTTTATTCTCAATTTTAAAAACACTTTATTTATTGTGTATTTTTGCAAATGTTACTGTTCAGAAACACATTTGACCTCCTAAAACAATAAAACAATCATAACACATGGCAGTAAGCCATGTGCTGGAATTACATAGTCTGCTATTTCAGAGGTGTGCCCCTTTAAATCAAGTGCTAGGTCAGGGTAGGGGATCCATCAACACCAATTTGCATTTATATAGCCCCTTCACACTGGGTATTGTCTCGGAGAGCTTAACAGTGGCACAGCCTGCCACCAAGCCGAGGGAGGTGACAGGAAGCATGGGCGAAAAGGAAAATCTTCAGGCATGATCTGAAAATGGGGAAGGAGGGGACAAGGCAGAGAGGTTGAGGGGGACTAGGTGGGGGGACTGAAGGAGACAGGCGGAAGATTAAGGGAGACAGGCGGGGGATTGAGGGAGACAGCCGGGGATTGAGAGAGATAGGCGGAAGGATTGAGGGAGACAGGCAGAAGGATTAAGGGAGACAGGCAGAAGGATTAAGGGAGACAGGCGGGGAGATTGAGGGGGACAGGCAGAAAGATTAAGGGAGACAGGCAGAAAGATTAAGGGAGACAGGCGGGGAGATTGAGTGGGACAGGCAGAAGGATTACAGGAGACAGGCGGGGAGATTGAGTGGGACAGGCAGAAGGATTATGGGAGACAGGCGGGGAGATTGAGGGGGATAGGCAGAAGAATTGAGGGAGGCAGGTGGGAGGATTGCAGGAGGCAGGGGTATTGAGGGAGAGAGCCTGTACTGCTTTGGTGACTCTCAATGAACTCTTGACACAGTCATGGCCTTGAATGTCACAAAAAGATGGATATTTTGTCTTGCTCAGTGACATCAAGAATGCTGAAAATGTAACAGATAAGTAATAATCCTTGCATTTGATATAGAGCCTTTCACAGGAGGATGTCTCAAAACGCTTTGGAGGATTTACTGTAAAGTGTAGTGACTGTTTTTTGTAGGCGAATAGGGCAGCCAAATTGTGGACCACAATGTCCCACAAAAAGCTGTGAAGTGAATGACCAATTTTACTGGGGGAGGGGTTGTGGGGCAGGACCCTGGGAAAAACTCCCTTTTCTTATTCTTTGAACAGTGTCACGGGACCATCTGAACAGGTAGACAGGACCTTGGTTAACGTCTCATCTGAAGAAGAACAACAACAAAATTACATTTATAGAGCGCCTTTCATGTCGGGAGGATGTCCCAAAGCGCTGAACAGTCAGGTGTCAGGGCCCGAGCATGGGGGAGGGGTGGTGTAGGGGTGAGGGAAGGCAGAGAGGTGGGAGGGCAACCGAAAGCACGATCAAAAAGAAGGGTCTTGAGACCGGACTTGAAGGAGGCAAGGGAGGAAGCGAGGCGAAGGGACCGTGGGGTGGAGTTCCAGAATGTGGGGGCAGAGAGGCTGAAAGCCCGGCCACCGATGATAGGGCGGACCGGAGCCCGCTGAATGGAGGGAGCGGGTAGGTTGGTAAGGAGTCAACAAGTTGGAGAGGTAGGAGGGGGCAAGGCCGTGGATGGCCTTGAAAGTAAGGACGAGCATCTTGAATCCGATCCTCTGGGGGATGGGGAGCCAGTGAAGTCTCCAAAAATACAGCGAACCCTCAG